CCTTGACTGTTGACGATAAACAATGCTTTATCATCCTCATTTCTACTTCTAGCAGCTCATTTCAGGTTCCCGTTTGTCTACAGCATCCAATTAAGGGCCACAAACTGTTTGGAACTCGGGGAGGCAGGTACTAGCACTCACAAAAGTTCTTAAATCAGGCATAGCGCGCCGTCCAGACTACACAGCCGAGTTTGTTCACTTCGCCACAATTGTGCCCACCCTACATCGGGTGGGCAGGGACGGTCCTGTCCGTTGGTGTTACCAAGGCTTATTAACAACAAAAATAGGGAGAACACAGAGCGCCTCTTTTCGAGTTGGAAGCAGTTATACAGAGAATGCATTCTGATGGACGGTGTGCTGCCAAATATGTTCGTACCACTGCCATTTCTAATTGAACGTGTTCATAATCTCAAATAGGGTGATACGCGTACATCGTTCAGGAGGGTGCTTCCTGCGTTTTACTTCAGCGTGGAGGAGTAAGGTGCTCATTTCTGATTAAATTATATCAGGATATGGCTTACATGATGGTTTATCCTCTAGAATGGAGAGCTGGGGTTTCCTTTCGACAACAATACAGCCAACACCAACTTAAACATACCCACAATGCGAAGACAATGAACCTTTTACCGTCGCTCGATTCCTGACCAGGATCGTACAACGTGCAATGCATAGTCAAGTGGTAACATCCAGAATAAGCTCTTCTTCATTACTGAAAGAAATGCTGCGCAAGCGATTTGTACACGCACGATTGCAAATTAGTCCAATGTAAATACTCACACATGCTTCGTGATATGATTACTACTGACTAAATTTTAATAATAATAATAATACGTGTGAGGACTGTTCTATTCGGGTCTACCGAGTCTTCCCCAATGAAACCCTCAACCTTATAGATGCTTTAAACTATGGCTAACTAGACATCATATGCTGAGGTGCTCATATCAACCCCAATACTGGAGGAAGTTCTATATTGACGTGCAGCAACTCATACCTCACTCGTGGGTATCTCTTAACCCACTTATACATTTATTTCTATAGACGACTGTGAGGATGCCCGCATTATTATGCTGTGCACTGTCCTGTGTCAGCCGGCCTGTTCCCCGATGAACAAACTACTGACAACTTTATAAGTAACCATAACAGTAAAAGAATGAGATGTGGCATAAGTAGGGTAAATCCATATAATATCAGTTACCAGTAAAACAGCATTCAGGAACTTCAGCGTTCGAGGGCAGTTCGCCCGGAACAAGTCTTTGGATCCAACATCCTGTAGTGGTTTACCTGCCTGAACTTCAGCGTTCGAGGGCAGTTCGCCCGAAACAAGTCTTTGGATCCAACGTCTGCCCTAGAAGCAGAAGAACTGCGCGATAGGGACTTTTGACCAAAGCGTTCGGTATCCGGAAGCTCTTGTGTGGCACCCGTAATAACGTGAGTAACTTCAGGAGATATACTGTTTGCCACTTGCGCGTGAATCATTGCAGCCACACGTGTAAACGTCGCTTGCTGAGGCCGAGTGAGTCCCGTGGACAAGAGAACCGGACGAAGGCGTCGGCTAGATGGTAATTTGGTAACAAACAGTGAGGACGGAATAGCCAATAGGAGTAAAAATGAAATTCAGCTGCAAATTTTCAGAAAGTAAACGCAAAATTAACAAAAGCTGGCGAGTGAAGTGGCAACATCAACGAGATTAGGGTGAAGCATGTTGAAGAGATACACGAATAACAGGTGAAGCAATGTACTAAGTGCACTAAAAACAGACCAGCAACGTTCAACTGAAAACAGTTCAAGCTGGACAGGCCAGTTTTTCACACACCTTTTATTTGACAGTCGATCAATCCTACAGGGCAATGTGGAGGCGTCGTGGAATGCTACCCTATCGTAACAATAACAAAGCTCTTCGATTCGGTGCTTTGGATCTACTTCTCAGTTTCTATCAACGTTCTGCGTAAGACATACAACTTGCTTTTACATGGGTTTGGTATTAATTCAACATTATTCCACGTGCCTTGCATCCACAGTATGATTACTCCCCTTTGGAAGGATTATGTGACGATAACAATCAAAGGAGGTCCCTTCTGGGACGAATTCGATCCGTAAAATCAGTTCGCTTCAGTGAAAATAGGTTTCAAGGCACCAGATAATAGTGGGACAACTGAACTATTTTTCAGCTGAGTTCCAAAACAGTACGAGCCGTTCACAAGGAGCCTCTTACATCTTTGTTCATTGTTCAAGTGTGCCTCTTTCACAGGTGCACGTCAGGCTGCATCCTCCATGATACCCTGGTTCCAGTGTTCATACATTATTCGAAAGTATACGGCGATGTCCAGAGATCCTGGTTCTTATGCCCCATCTTCAAACATAGCTCCTCTGCCCAGTCCACTGGTATTGCCAAACCGTTGGCTCTATAGTACCCAGACTGTGATTTCTCCCGTTTCCTACCAACTCAACGACCACAACCTGTGAAGCTGTAAGACGTGCCTTGCTATTACTGTAGTTGATCAACTGGAAGCGGGGCTGCATCGAATCCAAGACGGCAGGTAAACCACTTATTGGGTAAGCCCATCAAATAAACTTGTACGGATGTCTTATCCGATCACTTGTATACCCTCAAATACTGCGAATTTTCTGACAACAAATAGCGACGCCATCAATGGCAGAAATTGCTTTAGCTAAATCGAATAAAATAAGATTTTTGAGACGAACAATGCACCGTCATCAACGCATACGTTGTTGGACCCAAGGGTTATGGGAATGTCCGACGACTTACACATGAGTTTGTTTTGTATCTAATGCGTTTTCTCATAGTACCGAGGGAATTTAACTAAGGAGTCCGGATCTGTTACTCGAGTTGGGAGCGATAATTTACGGCCTATTGCGGAGTTGACATGATTGCACATATCCCGACAGCTTGGCTAGGAAGCATCACGAAGAGACTGGACCTTACCGTGGTGTGACGGTTTGCGCACCTCAGCGATCTATTGAGCTATACTGGAGAGTGTCCCGCGACGCTCACAGAGTCTCTCATACCAGGTTGGTCAATGGTTAGAGGTCTGACGAACACAGTCTCCTGGCCCTCCAGGTTGGGGGTTGGAACATGTGGCGACTTGTTCCGTAGAAATGGTAATGCATTTGCATTTCCCGCCAAACACCGCTGCCTTGCGGTTAGGCTTTTGAGCCAAAGGCTTTGGTTGAGGACCCTAATCGTCCTCCTGTCTAGGTGTGGGCGCCATGGCAGTATCTCAGCCCACGTACAAGTACGGCAGTGAAGCATCGGTGTTGAACACTGATGTCATGCTGTCGATGATGATGATGATGATGGCTAGGAACCATAATTTATTTAAAGACCTTGTCGTGAAGGAGAGAATAAAAGTGAATTGAGAAAACATCTAGTGCTAGCCTACTACAATCAGTCATAGGTACCTATAAAGTCAGATACTGATCCAGACGATCGGGGTGGGAACTGATAATAAGAACGTCATTGACATCGAGTAGTAGTCATATCCTGCAGCATCTTCAGCCAGGCATAGTGGGGGTCATGCAGATCCCATCCTGGAAGACGAGTCACACTGACGCTACCCAGACTTTTCATAACTCCTGTGCTAGGCCAAATATTGACCGCCTCTTTGCTTGAGTCACTCTGATTACAGCACGGGAATCAGCACTCTTCGGCGCATGTCACAAATAACCAAACTGTCGCAGCTTTTGGTTCTGGGGACCAATGGTCAGTTCCTACGGGAGCTATCCTCTCCAAACAAATGTGGGGAACCACTTAGGGGAACATCGTTATGACAAAGTAGGGAGGTTGTAAACTCATTTGTGCCGGTTGAAGTTATCTTCATGAAGGAACAGCCACCTACGGAGCATGCTGTTAATAAAAACAGGTGTAAACAGGGTCAGACAAACGCAACAAAAGCTTCTCATTAAAAAATCGATGCTATTAACCACTAGCTCGGA